ACTGATTGTCGAAGCACCAACTGCTTTGAGAGGTTTTTATTTTAAAACTATGTAGAGTTCATTATTCACATTTATTAAAGATAGGTTCCTGCTAGTATAGTGTTTGAGAACTATTATGAAGTCTTTCCTAAATCATATCTTCTGGAAAAAAAATTGAAACGATTGGAACAGGGACCCTGGTGTTTGGGTTTAAAATGGCAATTGTGCTGCTTACTGGTGTTTCACTTCATGCAAGTTACTAACTAAGCAGGTAACCAACATGCTAAATTACCAACATCTGTGTCCTACATTATTTTGTATAAGTGACAATAAAAATGGTACCTATTGCATTGAGTGATTTTCTGAGTTTAATTGGATTTTATATGAATATGCCTTCCATGCTGCTTAGCATATAGAAAACAAAACAATTAACAAAAATCATTACTTTTAATTCTTTTAAAGTGGAATCAGTTTGGAGTATAGTGCTAGATGTTGAGAGTAACAGTAACATAACCAATTCACCACTGGTGCAATCAATAACTTATAAATATGTATAACAAAAGACATAGAAACCCACCAATTATAATATATTATAGAAGTTTCTGTTAGATTTTTTCAAAGCAGCTGATTAGAGTTCTGCCTCTCTAAGGAATTCTCTTAACCTGTAAGGAAGAGTATAGGAAAACTTCCCAGGGACTATAAAGAATTTTGAGAATTAATCATTTTGAATCATTTCATTTTGCCCTGAAAAGGCATGCAGATTTGATTAGAGTTCATTAAAGCTTGCACTTGGCTCAAAATGCTTCTTCTGACTTTTTAAATCATTATTAAAGACCTAAAAGAAAATGAGAATAAGCCTAGTATAAATCAGAAACAAAGAATTTTAAAATTTATGAGAACAATTTTATGAGTCTATTTTGCTTTTTAGAATAGCTGGTCAAAATGAAAAAATACGAGGACAACTTTTTGATTTGTCAGCCATCCAAATGATAACATCAGAAAGACATTATCCAAACCTTTTTCAGGCAGGTGAATGATTGGATTGTATATATGGTACTAATGGATGGAATGCCATTCTCTGGGACTATCCTTAGCAGCATACAAATCAGGAGTAATGTAGTTATCTGTCCTTATCTGCCTGAATCACTGAATGTGGAAAACAGTCAATCCAGACTCTATATCCTTTACAAATTCTGTTATATAAGATATCTGAATAGAATGACTAATAAAAGCATCAGCAATGTTGACCTGTAAACAGCAGCAGCAATGGTGGCAGTAGCAGCAACAACAGGTCTTATTAGTGGGACATTTGAGGTGCTCCAGACTGGAGATATTGAGATAGCAGGGCAAGCAGGAATGGCAGAAGGATTAGTGAAGCTGAAATGCCATAACTACCACAGAGAAGTTATGTTATCCAAGTATCTTAAGCACTTAATAGATTTATAAAATTTATGTATTTGTGTCTTCAGTTATAAAAAGGATCATCATCATTGTTATTTTTATACTTTGGTTTTTTAATGTTTTTAATCATAATGTTCTTCAGATGTAGTACTGTTATGTTGTCCACCTACAAATAATGTATATATCATCATTTTTGGGTAAATGTTCAACTGGAAAGGCTAAAGGCATTCCATCCCATTCTACAAGTAGCACAGGGAATCACTTTACCTCTTACTTGGCCCTCAACTAACCACATCTCTCCCTGCCTGTATGAATAACTTCTGCTGAAGTGAGTTTGGAAAGGAATACACCATAGTTAACTTACTGGAGAACCAGTAAGTTTGTCCAAAAGCATGTTCCCTAAAGCACAGTAGGTACATTTAGTCAGGAGAGGTTCTGCTCTGCTGTGGTAACAAATAAATGAAGCAGCTTAACATAACATGTTTCCTCCACTCATACAAAGTCTCTTGTGGGTCTGAGTAACTTTCCAGGGTAGCTGTCTCCAGAAGTGATTCAGTAATCTAAGATGATTCAATTTCATCATGCCACCATTTCAACATACGTCCTCTTCTTTTGCTATAGAAAAGACTTCAGAAAGACCAAATAATTTCTTAGGAATAGTTCACTACTTCAGCCCAGATGTGATACACATCACTTATGCTCATATTTCTTTGGCTTGGATTAGTCAAGTGAATTCACATGACTGCCAAGGAGCTGGAAAGCATAGTGTCCCATATGCCCAGGAATGAATATTGATTATATGATATTGAGCAAATATTGATGAATACTGTCTCCCACAGTATGCAAGATAACTTTAGGTGATGCAGAAATAAACTGTTAAATTGTTTGGTTTTTGCATGTATTTGAAAAATACAAGTAGGGCATCAAGCCTATGAGATAATGGTTTCATTTTATATAAATTTAATTGCAGACACTAGTCATGTGAAGAATGGTGAATGTGGCAAATAGATGTCTAATGTTTTTGGTAACACTGGCCTAAAGGAACATCTGTCAAACACAAATTTGAGCATGTAAAATTTCAGGCAAACTGGGAACATGAGGTGGGGCGTAACAAGCTCTTCGGTAACAAGCACCTGACATTGATTTAGCAGCAGATAGTATGGGACTGCCTCCTGGGAAGGCTAGCTCTAGAAGCTAGTTGATTTTCTGCTGTTGAAATTGGAGAACCAATGATGGAAACAACCATGGGGGAGACTGGAACTACTGATGAGTACCTAATTTTCTTTTTTTCATTTTTCTACCAGACTGAGATTGCTCTTCATACAATAATGTAAGACTAGCAAGAATGAAAGATTTGGAAATAAAACCCTTGACCTGGCAAGCAATACCTTCATAATTGGCAGTTATCTTCTCACCTGGTTTTTCTTGTTGTCTGCTATTGTTTAAACTGCTAGCCTGGATCCTCTCAAATCAAATACAGTAGTATCACCTGATATTGTTGGTAATGCCAAAGCTTTCAGTCCACTAAAGCTCTTCCCTCACTGTTGGTGGTAAGTAAGCTTTTAAAAAAATTTTCTATTTCCATGTTTCCCAAGAGTATCTAGAAATAGCTCCCAAGGGTTCACATTTTGATGTTGTCATTTGTCTGTGCTATTATTGATTTTCATGTAATTATTAATAGAAGCCTCTTTTATTCTCAAAAAATGTCTTGTTTAGATGATGAATTATGTGGTGACTCTGCTTCTGAGGATTCTTCTTGTTTTATTTTATGATATAAATGACTAATTTTTTCCCAAAGACTCTTTATTCCAATGCTAATGCCACATGGGGGAAACTGAGGCTATGGATAGTTCTGGATGTTTAGTTTTCTCAGTAGTCATTTTTTGGCATCATCTACATATTTTCTATAGGATAAAGATAAAGGTAGAAGAACATAAAGAGGAGTTAAAAGAAATAAGTAAGGACAGTGACGACTGGCATATAAGCCAAAGCACATTTTGAGGAATCTAAAGAATGCATTATTCTGGCACTTAGGTCTAAATTGCTCCAATCTAATCTTAAGGATGACATTTAAAACCGAAGGCAAATCTTGGCATTCATAACATTTATTCTCTCTTTATTTATTTCTTCTTTTTTTGCACATAACATTTATTATCTTGTCAACATTTTAGAGGGGTGTATTTTGTGTACTAATGAAATGATTGTAATGTCTCACATTGTCTCATTCTGTAGTAGAGTTAGGACAGGCACTGTGCAGTCTTGTTGAATTTCAGTTATGTGAGAGTAGCCATGAATTTCAATAGGTACCACATTTAGTTTTCCCATAATCTCACTATTAGATAACACATATAAAAGCTGCTATTTATTTTGTCATGTACTTCCATCCTAGGCGAAAGCGAGAGTTTTGAAAGTACAGTATATCACGTTTAGAGTGACCTTTAGGTCTGTAGCTCATCAGGCTGGTTTTTAAAATATGCAAGCGCCCAGGTTAAAAGTCTCTAAATACTTCCTGTTGTTTTACTGTTAAATAATGTTTAGAGTTTGCTATCTTTTGTAGACCTTGGAAATCTAATTATTTATAACATCCAGTGACATTTACATTTTGCTAAATATACTTTGCTTGTACAAGAACATATTATGATTAGAAAAATGGGTAGAGAATGCCTGGCTGTACATTTGTTTCTATATAATGCAAAATATCAGGGTGACCTATGTTATCTTTTTGTTACAGCTTCATGATTTTAAACCATATTTCTCAAAAAGTGTTCTTAACTATTAGCATTTAAAATACAGAATAAGAAAAAGTTATCATAGTTGAGATCATTGTTTACCACTTAATTCTCCACTATCAAACCAAATATCTATTCAAGTTTATCGGTATCTTAACATAATACCATTCATTTCCATGCCAACAGCTCTAGAGTGTTTGGCTTGGTTTTTGAGATTGATTGAAGGTAGATTGTAAAGTTGAGCTATTGTGTTAAGCTTATTTACACAAACACAGTGTCTTGGAAAATAAACTCTGGAAGTGCATAGCAGTTGAATCTTAAGCTATTTCACATCCTAAGTTTCTAATACCTGCTTTATAGAAATCCCTTGGGTGGTGAATCCCAACTTTACCAGTTACCTTACCTAGGAGAAAATTACTTCCACATTCTTAAATTTGAAGTAAAATTTAGAAATTGCTTAGGAAAAAGGATTTGCTTTTAATTTCATTTGACGAATTTGCTTAAGTACATAATTTATGAGACACTCATGGGTGAACTTTTTTCAGGCTCTTGAAACACTTTTCTTAAAAGAGTTTTTAAAATGACATTCCTAAGATATAAACAATACAAAAAAGACTTAATTGTAAAAAAAAAAAAGAAAACCTATATAACAACAGTGAAAAACTGAATTTGGATCCTGGATGGTTACGAATAGATTATTTTAAGAAGAAGTTACATTGATCTTGGCGAGAATTTAAAAGCGTTTTCTGACACCACATCCTTGTCTGTCACCTAGTCTTAAATAATCAGCCTGTTATATATCGTCACCCCTCCCAGTCTTCCTATTTCCCCCATCAAAATGTGGACTTCTCTCCTGTAGCTGAGTAACGTGGGGCTGGTTAAACTGCGAGGGAGGATGGGCGCGGGGCACGTGGACCAGAAATACTTCCTATAAACAGCAAGTACGCTGCTCAACCCTGCCTGAACTTTCCTGTAAACAGCCACTGACAGACTGCATCCCTGCTGGGTGGATCCTGCGACTCCTAGAGGGAATGGCACTTCTTGTTTTTAATTAGCAAGGTGAAAGGTGAATTAAAACTAGCAATTTAGCAAGTCAGTGCAAGAGGCTGACTTCTGAGAGGCTTCCAGGAGCCCGAAGAGAGGAGCTCCACGGGAGGAGGGAGTGCGTGTGCTCGGGCTTTTTTTTTTTTTCCCCTGAATGAACAGCTTTGCCTAAGTGACTGAAAAACAGCTTCTTCCTGAATCTACCGGCTTAGTTGCTGAAGAGAGCTCTAGACAGGACATGGCTCTGAAGACTCACTCTTTGGAATGTCCTCTTGCTCCCGGCTTATAAACAATTGTTCAGAGGAAAGAAAGGTTTTACATAGCCAAATACAGCCTGACAAATGGCACTTCGGAACTGTGCTTTTTGATGACAACGCGTTCGATTTCTGACAAAGCCTCTCGCACGCTGCCCCTGGAGGGAAGTCCTAAGTAAAACTCAGACCCTCCTTAAAGTGAGGAGTGAGGGCTTGAACATTGAACACGGCAGCATGGCATCCGCGGGGCACATTATCACCTTGCTCCTGTGGGGTTACTTACTGGAGCTTTGGGCAGGAGGTCACACAGCTGATACTACCCATCCCCGGTTACGCCTGTCACATAAAGGTAGGTTACCTTTCCAGATCCTTTTTTTTTTTAAAGAAAAGAAAAAGTAGCTTAACATAGGCTTATGGTCGTCAAAGACCTTTAAAATGCACCTGAAAAAATGTATTGCAAAACTGACCTAAAATTCTAAGTATTTCTGATTAATATGTCATACTCACCTCATCTGAAAACAGTGAAAATCACAAGTCAACTTCGAGATGTTATTTTTGCCTGTAAATACTGGATTTTATTAATGAGGAGTTTACTCACTGGCAGCCTGAGCACAGGAAGGGAGGAAGCAGGTTGTAAATAGCCTTGGGAGGCTGAGTCCACCAAGTTAACAGTAGGTATTTAAATATCAGTTCATGCATATGAGAAACAAGGACGCTGGGGAAGGGCTATAGAAATAGGGGTGCAGTTTGTTCTTTTTATTTTTGTTTTGTTTTCTTTCCATCATGGAGGTAAGAGGAGGAGAAAAGAAAATTCCTGAGGAGAAAAATGATGCCCTACCCATGGTAACTAAGTCATCTTCATGTAATTAAAGTGATTAACAACTAGTATAAATCAGCTTTCCAGTTGAATTGATTATTAGATTTTTTTCATGTGTGGCAAAGCAAAATAGCTCTTATTGACTATGCTTGTAAAATGGCTAATATTAATTGAAGTATTAGTATTCACTAGCATTTTTAATGTAAATTTATATTGCCTCAATGAAGATCTAACAGAATGCTTAAATATTCCATTCTACAATATGTCTTGTAAAGCAACATCATACTCATGAATAAATGATTAAAAGATAGAATTTACATCAGGGTCAATACAAGTCAGTCACGATAGGTTTGGTAAACAAACAAACAATAAACAAAACCATGCTCAGAGAAAGTGACTTTGCTGACTGAAAGTACATTCAGAATAAATTGTCAGCAAAGAAGTATTTATTACTACCAGCCATTGAGACATTGAGACAGATAGCAGATGTAATACTCAGGATTACGTAAGAATCATTTTTCAATTGTGTAAGCTTTTAAATTGTCCCCCACTGTAGAAAGAACAGAGAAGCTTGTATTTTCTAAGTGTAGGTAGAACATTTATCAGGAGAAACAGAAAGGGAATCCTCAGTTTTATGTGACATGTTTGGCCTTTTTGTCTTTTCATTGGACAATCTTCAGTAAATGTTGCCTATAGAAATCTTTCATTTTTGGAATAGTTAAAACTATGGATATTTTCTTAGTTTAAATAGATTTCCTATAATACTATTCAGTAGATAATATAAATTTAAGAAATACATTGATAATAAATTAGTAAAGTATTTAAAATATAGTTCCCAGAATTAACATTAACCTTTTAACTTGGGAAGATGTATCATGGTATGTATCAAAATGCCTACTTCTAAGAAGTTTATCATCAAAGAGTCGAGATGAACAAATTTGATGTGATGGAATATGGACAAATAAGATGCAAAAAAATATAAATTGATTGTTTTTCTTATGTAGACAAGTGGATAGGCTGTCAGTTTTTGCAAGCTACAATTCTGTTAAATCTAGTATGAACTTTTATACCTTATAATTGGGGTCCTTGTGTTTTTATGGTTCAATATCAGTGTATTTTCCAATAGGTCACATTTTAATATTTCATAAGAGAGTTAATAATTTGATCAGAGAATGCCAACATTCTCCGATACAGGTAAATGTTATGCATAATACTGTTATCAAGTTCATCTTTATTATGTCACTTTTAATCAAATAAATAATTGTAACTGGTTTTATGAGTGGTGTCGTATGGTGTGAGGGTAAAATTGCTAGTATCTATGTGTACACTATCCTGAAAACTCCCACAGGATTTCCCTTTGGCTTTTCTTAACCTTTGAATTTAATGGAACCAGCTGAAAATGTACAATATTATGTTTTTATACAAAGGCAGTATAGAGAGAGTTACTTGAAAATAGAATGTTCCTCCTACTTGTGCAATTTAGTTAGTAAAGTCGGCTAAGAGATCACACTGGAGATGCCACCTGAAGCAACAAAAGCCTACTGCACCTCAGGTGCGTCAGTGAGAAGAGCATATATACTGTCAGAGCAGGGAAATTCAGTCCACCAATACAATGTGAACAACCTATTTATCTCTCTACACTCTGGAATTCAGTGAATACTTTAGAGGTCTTCAAAAACTAGGAATAAGATATTACAGATTAATCTTTTGCTGTCTTGAATTATGTCAGTAATGGCAAATGTTCAGTAATGAGTGAATTAAGATAATTAATATTATAAATGAGTGTATAATCTTTCAATATAAGAGGCACTAGGAATATGTAATATAGCACTTCTGCACTGCTGCCTGACCACCAGCAGGGAAATCCAGGAGGCTCCCTGGAGGTAGCCTATTAGGATAATTCGGAAACTCTTTTCACAGTAATGATCTCAGCTGTATGGGAGAAAGGCAGGCATTTTTCTCATATTCTTCGCTTTTGAGATGTCATTTGAAAATACAAGCCTATTGTTTCTTCCCAAGGAGAAGGATAAAGTTTATTATATACAAAGCTTGAGTGAAATTATATAAAATATGTTCAGAAAAAAAAAATGTCCAGAGAGTTGCCCTTTTCCTCTCCCCTCCATTCTCCATTACTATTTCTGGAATTGACATGTTCTTAACTAGAGCCAGAAAGGAAGGGATCATTAGGATTAAAGAAGAGAAAAGTCAGAGAGAGAGAGAGAGACAAGGTAGAAGGGTAGTATGAGGTGTGGAATCTTTTTTAGTTTATTTCCTACTGTCTTGTAACTCAATGGGTTGATACTGAATTCCACTCTCTTCTAACTGAATATCTGACTCCACACTAATATTAAGAAAATATACTGGCTTAGAGCAAGCCTTGTGAATAAAATGATGAGATAATTATGCTTGTTGAAGCAATATATCTATCTTTTAATGCATTTTTAATTACATGATAAATTATGTTAATAAGCAAAAAATGTAGCAAAGATTAAAATGGCAAGATGCTGTCCTGCTTTGTCAAGATTTTCAGTCAAGATTTGAGTTGAGTTGGCTATATTGCACAAATATTTCAAAGCTCATGAATAGTTATGCATTATAGCTAACATTATCCCAGCTCAACAGGGTAATATTGGTGAGATTAATGCAGAATTTTAATATTCTTCCTCAAGGGTTTTCTTGAAAAATACTATGGTCCTCAGGACAAAAACCAAGGCAAGAGAGAGTGAAGGGAGAAGAGTCCTAGTGGATTCATCTACTTCCCTCTGTTGATATCTGTTCTCTCCTTATCTTTCACCATGCTGCACTAATGAGGTTACAGGGAAGGCAAAAATAAGCTTCTTGATAATGGAGCTCAGAGAAGAAAAAACAAATCAGCAAAGACCTATGTTGAAAAAGAAATATCAATGTACATGGAAAGCCCCTAGAAATTCAATCATGGGAGCTTGGCAGACAGGGTAGGTGTTTGAAGTCTCAATAAGGAAGGATACAATTGCAGAAATCAAGGAGAATGGCTGCTTAAGCAGAAAATGTTCTCCTAGAATGGTTGGTAAAGAGACAGTTAAATAAAGGCATAGATATGGCAGAAGATCATTCCTAAAATATGTTAACATTATAAATGTAAATTTAAACATGGAATATATACTTAAGCAGATAGAAGTTGTGATAGAGAGTGTTAATTAGCGTATCTGTATTGGGTATTATAACCAATTAAATTCAGATTTATTATAGTTCAGAGAGCTCAGGATTTAAAATCAGAGGACTCTATTCCAGTTCTAGTACTCCCACTTATAATAATGGTAATTAATTGTCTGCATCTCAGTTTCCTCTGTTTGAAAATAGGGGTAGTAATTGTATTTTGCCTGTATATTTTACTGGGTTTTTGAGGTAATCAAGTGGAACAACAGTATAAGTGAATGTACTTTATCACCTAAAAACTATATTATTTATGTTTTCTGAAGACTGATACCAAGTGAGAATATAGAAAGGAAACATGTCCTGTAGAAAAAAACCTTGAAAATGGTATGAGTTTAGATTTCAACAAGTGCTAGGATAATGCTAATATAGAATACAGCATCAAGTTGCTCTTAAACAGTATAAAAACATATGATTTACCTTGATAGATTACATTCACTCCAAATCTCACCTTCCATACCTTTTGACCTCTAGTTATAATAGCTCACAAGATGGCTCCATTGTGCATTTTCTAAGATTCATGGCCTTTTTTTTTCTTAGTATACTTATATCCATTTGTTACATATATTCAGTCTACAACACACATTTTAGAACTCATTCCATTGACAAGAAAAAAACTGACAGAGGATTATAAAAGAGCACAATATTAAATAAATATTTGAATGATCACCCTGGAGGCCATGGTATTTATTTTATATCCAAGGCAAATAAAAAATGAGACAGTGACTGAGCCAGTTTTTCCTGACCCCGCTCATAGCTGGTTCCTCATCCAATAGCCTGGTATTATCAATAGTGACATTAGTTACACATCTCTGTGTGTCAATAAATAAAAACTGGTCATAAGACATGATTCATAAGCAGAGTGGTTAAATAAGACCCAGGAGTAAACATTAGTCTATGTGCCCAGAGCTCCATCAGGGAGAGTCAGTGAGACTTAAGTGGTGGATTTACTGAGAAACAGTTTATATTATAAAAACTATCACTGGATAAGTTGTGAGGAATTACAATGTGTTTTGTTGAGTCTGGGTTATACAAAATATGCTTTCTGTGGAGAGAGAATTGAATTCATAAGAATTGTAGATAGTGTTGTTATTTGTGTTTTTATATTTGCTACCGACAAATATTGTCCATCACCTCAGTACATCTGGATATACAGAAGTCACTGAATGGTTCTGTCAACTGTTAAATTCTTATCTGGATGTTGCATTTTACAGTGGGAAGACAGTTATCATTTAGTATAGAAATAGGGTGAGGGGAGGTCAGGATTAAAAAAAACAGTAACTAGAATTTATATACGAACTGGGCCAATTCTGGAGTGGAAAATGTATGTGTATTAAACC